TATGTATGTCTATAACATTTGAGCTAATAGAAGTTTCACCTGCATTAGGAACATAGTGTTGATCTCGATTTAATTGTAGTTGTGAATTAACCGAATAAGAAGAATAATCTAAAGAAATATTGCCTTGCTGTAGTTGATGTTTCATGTCTAAATTTGATGAACTTGCTAATGGAGAGGATGTGGGGATGATAATAATTTTGTAACCGGGAATTTCAACCGTTTGTATTTGAGGAGAGCTAGCATCAGTCATGCTAGGTGAATTAGTAGGAGGATTATTACGTGGGTTTTGTTCTAAAATCTGTTGGCCGTTAGAATTATGACCGGAGTGTAAAATGTTGACATATTTGCAAAAGAGGTTGCAGAATAATCATATTGTTCGTCTCGGTGTTATTATTAAGATTATTATCTCTTGTGGAAAAGCCATCATAGAATGCTTTACACTGTAAAAACATCCTCTGGCTGGATTCCAAAATTTTCGTGTCTTTCTGTTTGATTTTGAATTTTATAAAAATTAATATTTTTTTATTTTATTTTATTTGAATAAAATTTCTTGTAATTTATTTATATAGTCCTTTAATGTTACCATAAATTTCATTTTTACCCAGAAAATTTATCCAGCCTTTCCTTAAATCGTCCTCGATTTGCAACACATTTCCATCGACAGTACACAAACAAAAAAAAATTCCCATTTCATTAATCAATTTATCAAGAATGCAAAAGATAACCAAACTGAAAATCATAAAAGACTAGATAATAATTTAAACTTTAAGGGAACGCGAAAACGACCAAATACTTCTAGTAATTTAACTTTGTTTTGGTTTTTTCGTGATTGATTAATTAATTTTACACAAATATTGTATTACCTCTCACGCCGCCGCAGCTTATTGGCCAATAGTTGATTTTAAATTAAAATCTCCATAGACAAACAGTTTTTAGACTTAATGAACTTTTGACAGAAGGTTTCTTACCTAGCATAATTTTTTATATTGTAGTTAACAATTTTACGATTTTTCTAATTTATATTTTCAGATATATATATTTTATTAGCTGAACACATTTGTCTCAAAAGCAACATTCAATTAAATATAATATTTTTCTTTTTATTAACAAAATTTAATGATTAAAACATCTCGATTAACTTACAGGATAAAAAAAAATGAGCAATCAACACAAATTTAAAAAAAAATTCTTATAATATAAATATACTTTCTGTCTATGAAATTTTCTCTTTGGATTGGCGATAAAATCTTTTTGTTTTAGTGACTACAAATAATTTTCTTAATTCTATGTTTTAAGATAATAAAGAAATAAAGAAATTGAGAAATGAGAAAGCATGTCGTGAGAAAGAAAAAGCAATGGTGTTTATTGCTTAATTGGAACAAGAGATGAAGAAAATAACAATAAAATTTAAATGAATGGTCATTTTTCGCAAAGCCCTCCAAAAATAAAGAAAAAAATAATATCTTATCGAAGAAAAGGTGGAGGAGTACAAACAACAAGGATCAAACAGAAAGTGTCAAAAACGAATAAAAAATTTCCATATTCAGGTCAGGGACGATGCATGCAGTAAAAACAAAATATGCATTTTAAGGTGCATAATCAAATAGATAAAAAAATTGGAACTAAAATAAAGTAGGTCACACGGAAAAATTGCTCTCCAAAATTGTCTCGCTTCTCTTTTTTTTCCTCCTCTTTACAAATTTCTTTGCTCTTTTTTTTTAAAAAAATACCATTTCAAAGTCTTTAGAGATTAAGCTTATTTCCCTTGCCTACAACCGGTGCCATAGTCTCCATAAATCATTTTTCATGCGAATTAATCGTTTATCTTCAGCATGTCATATTTTGCTGTTTGAGTTGCCTGCTAACATTTACTATGGTAGCATCATTCTTTTCCACGCAGGAGTTATGAACGTGAAGAACCGTTTTCTGCTCCTTAATAACTTTTGTTCACGCTCTTCACGTAATTTCTCTTACTGTTAGAAATTTTTTTGTAGGTGCTCATAAATTGACCGAGGTAATCAACGGATTGGGTGGCGATAAATGTGACTGATGGATGTTCCATTTTTTTTAATATAAATTAGGAAATTAATGTACAAGAGAGGAGCACTTTTTTTTAGGAAAATTAATTTGTTCGTTACAACAATATTTAATATTTACAAAATAATAAGGAGATTTTTTGCATTCTTAAATGAATCGCGTATAAAATATAGTTATGGCAGTGAAAATCACGTGATAGAAAAAAAATTTTTTTTTTAATGTGATGATATAAAAAATCATTAAATAAAAAGCGTATCTTGTTTTTATTGTTTGTTGTTCTCTCAAATAAAATTTGTAATTAAGCTAAGCTTAATGAAGAATTTTCCTTCGAATATTTTTTCTCCTTCAAGCGAGAACTGAATCAAAATAGTTGAGGTTTCTTTCAAAGATTATATATATACGTGAAGTATATGATAAATCTTTACACATAAGAGAATGATTAGAAAGTTATTTCTTTGCTTTTCGGAATAAATAGAGTAAAACGTAAAGCAGAAAAATCAGAAAAACATTTCTAAAATTTCGTTATTGGAAGTCGTGTACAATACTTTTGATATCGCTTGCGCCTTATGTCATGACGTTTGTTCAACGCCTTGTAAATGTAAGGGCACACTTTTAACTTGATGAGTTTTTGATATATAAGATGAAGTATACCGAACGTTAATCCTGATTTAAAGGAAACACAACCTTTCGCATACGAGAACGTAACATTTTTATGAGTTTTGATATATGTAGGGCGAATTGTGCCTGACGAATTTGTTGATGTTGTTGTCTTTTATCCTTTACAAAAAGAAGAATGTATCAAGAAGGTAGAAAGTATCAAATGAAGACAACAAATTGATTTTTTCAATAAATGATTTAAACTAGAGAAAATTTAATAAGATATCAAATGTAATCATTCATTCACTGTATTTTTTTTTTTTTTAAAAAAAATATATATGGGTTTTATATATCATAGAATGTAAAAGAATAATTAACAAGTTAATACCAACGGGCTGGGAGAAAAAAAAAATTTATTTATTTTTTTTTTTTTATGTGCAGTTTATTTTAATTTTTATATATGGGGCCTTTGCAATAGAAGGGGGAAAAATAAAAAATGAGTTAATGCTAATTTGAACATATTTCTGAAAATCATATTTAGTAAAATTGACTTTTCCCGGCAAAGGCCCCATAATAATTTTTTTTTTTTTTTACCTCACTGTCCTCACTCACTGTCCTCACTCATTGTCCATCAATTTTAATTATTACTAGTCGGAATTAAATGTAAATGAAAAAATCAACTGACGAAAAGATTTCTTTTTCTTTTATAGAATAAATAAAGATTTACTAGTTTAGGACATTTGTACGCTGGCTGATTCATTCCTGCAAAGCCGCCAAACAAACCACAAACAAACGATTATTACTAAAATAATCACTGACTGTTAAGTTAACAATAATAAAAATTATAGGGAATAAGTATTAAAAAAAAAAAATCCTTCATGAAAGTGTGATTTGTGTAGCAAATAAAAAATAAAAGTTGTCGTGATGTTAAAATAGCATAAACCTTCAAATATAAATACAAGCAAATTTTCGTTAAAAAAAAAAGACTTTTTTAATAATAATTCCAACATCTATATAACCTTTAAATGTATCAAAATCCAGGAATCCAGCCAGAACTATCATCGGATACTTTTTACCCATCCTATGATGCCTTTTCCACGACAAGAGGAGATAATCTTAATAATCCTTACACAACTGCGCCAATCAATAATGACGATTATTCTACCTCCTCTTTTGCAAATGATTCATCTTACACTCCACAATTTATCGGTAACGATTCTAACGGCCAACAGATTTTAGAACAAAACCCACCAAATACCATTCCCCCACGGAATAATCTTCCTATTAATTCACCTAGATTGACTAATAATATTAGCCCTTCCCAGATTCAAACAGTTGAAATTCTCGGTTATGAAATTATTATAATCCCCACATCTTCTCCGTTGGCAAGTTTAATCAGTTTAGACGTGCAAAATCAACTACGACGAGGCAATACTCATTTGGATTATTCTTCTTATTCGGTTATTCCACCACGATTAAATCAAGAACGGGATTATACCTTTGCAACAAATAGATTCGATCCAACTTTGCAATACCTTTCTCAACCGCCGCAGTCGAACCCTAGCTCTCCCCAAATACAAACGATTGAAATTCCCGGTTATAAACTTATTATAATCCCCACATCTCCATTAGCGAATTCAACCAATTTAGACATGCAACGTCAACTTCAGCAAGGCAATATTTCTTTAGATTATTCTTCTTATTCGGTTAATTCACAACCACAATTAAATCGAGATCAACACTATGTTCCTAATGCAGGTGAAACTTCTATTAGCTCAAATGTTATAGACATACATAATTTCGTTCAAGACAATAGACAGCCCCAACATCAACAACAAAATAATTTAGGATTAAATGAATCGCTTAATGACTTCAACAACTTTTTTGGTTGATTTCACATCTTAACTCGTTTTTTTTAATTTAATCCAATTTTTTTTTAAATCTTATTATTGTATTTTATTATTTATTTTGTCAATGTAATAATTATTATTTATTAATAAAGTTTATCCTTTAAAAAATTATTTTTGTAACAAACCAATCAGATTAAGGACTGAAATACAACGTATCACGAACAAATAGTAACTTAACTCATAAGAAAAAAGAAAATAAATTATTTCCTTCTGGGTATTAAAAAGATCACTCCTTTTTTTTTGTTGTTGTTTGAGAAAACAAAAAATAAAAATAAAAATGATAATTAAAAAAAAGCTTATTCCGCATTATTTTGTGGTTAAAAAATAATTTTTATTCAGTTAACTAATTTTTTTGTTAACAATAAAACAATGATTCTTTCTCATTTCTCAATTTCTTCATTTCTTTACATTTCAAATTCTTAACAATTGAATTTAAAAATTTTTTTAGTATATTCAAGAATTATAATAATCACCATTGTGTAATATTTTTCTTTTTTTCTTTATATGTAATTAAGTAATCACAGGATTCAGTAATTATGTTAAAACTTTACTGGTTTTTTAATATAAGGATTAATGAAATTTATTTATTTTATCGTAGGAAATAATAAAATAATATATTTTTAAGTAGTTTATATCTTTTTCAACTAACAATTATTTTTTGTATTATTTAATATACTTTAAATACGAATTCGTTGATTTGGTAGACGTCATCTTTTTATGCAGTGTGGGGTATTAATTACAATATCCTTTTTATAACGTTAAGATAAATAAATAATTTAATTTTATCAAACTATTTTTAAATGTAACGTATTAATTACAATATATTTAACTTAATCGCAAATGTAATTTCGTTACACAATAAACTCCCAATGTTGGCATTTGGTCAGCCTAAAATTTTTTTGCCGGACCCAACTTAGAGCCCACGGATTCGTGCATTTGCATAATAACGCATTAATGCACTATAATTTTGCATAACACATTTTCACTTTTTGCATTTTTCACGTGATCTAAATCGAATTTACCATTTAAGGAAAATTAACGTAAATCTGATCATCGCTAT